GACCCGACGTAGTGGGGTTAAGGTTTTGTTGTTGCTGTTGGTGGTGGTGGAGGTGGTGGTGGTGGTGGTGGTGAACTAAACTTATATGGAACTTCCACTAAGTTTTAATCATGCTCTCAATTATAACCATTTATCCATATCAAACAATGCCTTATATAGACTCCAACAATCGTTAAGAGCATAGTTTGAAGAATTCACATAAGACTTGTAAAGTGTAACAGCCGGTAAAATAATAATGATAATCATAATTTGAATTTGTTGCGCCAGTAGACAAAACCAATGAGCAAGTTCCGCTAATAGAAGGAATGAGGGTTTCAAAACAATAAGCAAACAGTCGAACAGACAGATGAGGCTCAATCTCAAGCAAACAAAGAGTGAGGACGACCAAGCCAGCAAAAGAGATGACACAGTGAGTCAGTGCTATGCGATGCACGTGTCAAAGATACCGGAGGAGGAAACCAACTTCTAGTGTGTGAGGGAGATGAAGCCAACAAGAAGCAGGTAAGAACAAAATAAATGACAACGAGAGTGGAAAAGGTGCGTTCACACACACGAGACAGAATAATGATGAGGAAAAAATTGAAGAGGAGAGAAAAATATTAAGTTTAGGGTTTATTTTCAATTCTGAATTCTTTAATTTATTTTGAATTTATTTGAATAATAATATTGAATTTTACTAAATAGTAAAATTCTATAGAATTTGATTTGGAAGTAAAAATAAAAAAACATAAGAGATGAAAAGATAGAAAGAAACAAAGTTTAAAGTATGAAACCAAATCAAAAATATTTTAAATTTTATTTATTGAAAATTTTCAAATATTAGTTTAGGAATTTGAAATATGGGTACTCTCATAGATATATCAATGGAATTAGTATATATTAGTTTCATACGAAGATAAATAAATTTTGCATTAAAAAAACTAAGCGACTGTTTGGCGCGGCATTTTCCCAACTTATCTGTTTTGAAAACGAGGGCGATGCATTTGGTTTTCACGTTCGGTGGGCGTTTGGCGATACATGCGGCTCGAATAATATTATATGTCGATCACGGGTTCGATCCCGGGGCCCAGCATTTGGATTTAAACTTTACTTACTTGCCCCAGTCATCGTGTTTGCCCCTCCCGTGACCTAGGTGTTTTCAATCCTTTTCTCCGCCCTCATCCCGCCTCTCTCAAGCGTCTGATGCATCTCTCTCGACTATGTGTTGCTTTTCTCTTCCTCCTCCCCTCTGCAATTCGTAATTGCAGTGTTTTGTAAGTAATTTTCGTAGTTGTTCTTGCAATCCGTAACAGTGTTGGTTTTTTTATTTTTGATGGAATAGGTTTTTGTGCGTAGTATCATGCTTAACCTATGGATAATTACGATGGAACGGTTTTTCTGTGATTATTTGATCAATGTTGGATATCTCTTACGGATGGGCTATCTGAAGTCATTTCCAGATACCAAATTTCACGTTTCAGATTTCGAGCGATCAAGCGGTATTGCCCGTGGAATAAAAGAAATGTTTAACAAGCACACTCATCCGAATGTGATGTGATTGAAGAACATTTGGGGTGTGGAAGAAAAAATGGGCCCACCTACGTGATATACCGGCATACCCGTTTTCTAAACAAGTACATATTGTGGTGGCCACGATGGTGCTCCACAACTATATTCAACGGCATTACTCTCAATCGGATCCAAACTTCAGTATGGCTGACGAAAACAAGATGCAGGTCCCGCCTTAAGCAGTTGAATTTCACGTTGAAGAGTAAATACCACTGGCAGAGAGGGAATCACCGAAATTTGAAACCCAGGATGGTAAAGGTGCAGCGGAAATGGCAGCTTTAAGAGAGTGGATCACAAATGCTATCGTTGGATGTTTACTAGTCATTTCATCTTTATTTTCTAGATTCTATGTTTTTTTTTTATGTTTGTTGTATTTATGTTACTTTTGATTTTATATTATTCACATGTTTGAAAGAGCTTTTCTTCATTTATTTTTTTTTTGGTTCGTAAGGTTCAAGATGAGACGTATGATGACTGTTTCATCTATTTTCTTTACTGCTTTGTATTAGTTTTTTGTTTCTGTAGTATTGAATATATTGTCAAGACAGTTATGTTACAAACAACATTATTTAACTAGGGCAAAATGATCATTTATCCATAAATAGCTACAAATCAATTATTTTCAAACAGCTTTCCCAAACAGTCAGTCAGCTTATCCAGATAAGCTGCTAATCAACAGCTTATCCTGATAAGCTTCTTATCAGCAGATTATTCAATAAATTGCAGCAGCCCCAATCATACCCTAAATGGGTTGGAGAGAAAACTAAAGAGTCTAATAGCTTAGGTTTTTAAACTTTAATATTCAGTAAGAAGTCGTACAAGAAATGGTACATGTATAATTATAAATAAGAGTTTGAAAGATAATATTATAAAAATTAATAGAATTTGAAATAGAATTATAATTCTAAATATTTGTTGTTGATTCAAGATTCTTAACATTATAAGTGTTTATGCTCTCTAAATAGGTTTAGATATATATTCAAGAGAAAAATTTTGGAATGACCTAGAAGATACATATAATACATGTTGAAGAAAAAATTTTATTGATGGAGATTTAAATAGACATATTGGTAAAGAGGTAGAATATTTTAGAAAATTTTATGGTAGTTGTGATTTTGGAGTGACTAATGAAAAAGATATTCATACTAGATTTTACTTTAGCTTATGATTTTATTATTGTTAATATTTTATTCAAGAAAAAAGATGAAGATGAGCATATTATCACTTATTAGAATGGATCTAATAAAACACAAATTGAATATTTTTATGAGAAAAATAGATCGATATTGAAAAAATTATAAAGTTATTCCAAGTGAAAATTAAAGTACTCAACATCCATTATTATTATAGAGTTAGTTGAGACACTTAAAAGCAACATTTAGAAAATTGGGTCAGATTGATCCGTTCGATCGTGAACTTGTGGTCAGTTCGGTCTAGACCACACTAAAAAGCTTTTCTGACTGTGAACCGTCTGAAACCAGCCGAACCAACGGTTCCATAAATCGGAGAACCTATTCAACCTTTTATAAAATATAAACATAATTTTATATTTTTTCTTACACTTTTCACGTGCTTGTCGGTTTCCAATTCAAAAGCATGCCCAAGCTTTTGTCTTTTCTATCTTTTCCAGGCTTTTATATCTTTTCCGTAACTTTTCATATATATATATATATATATATATAGGTTTTTTGTTTTCGTGTAAAGCTTTTCGAACTTCCCTTGATGACATGGCACTTTTCATATATATAATGAGAGAGAGAGAGAGAGACTTAAAGGGACTAGGGTCACAGAGCTACGGTGAGAGGAAATATAATACTAATAGGAAATTTTTATATTGATATTATTAATTTTAATTATTAAAAAAAATTTTGGGAGTAGAATCAATTATCTTATGAAAATAGCAATTTTTTTATGAATAGAGCCACTTAAAAACATTTTATTTATTTATCTTTTTTATATTCATATTATTATATTTTTATTGTATTATTTAGATTATATTTAATTAATTTTTATATTTATTGATTATTACATCATCCGATTCAACCCCGGTCAAACCAATGAATTTTGAGCCTTTCTTTTTTCCGGTTCTATCTCTGATCTCGTTTTAAAAACCTTGCTTAAAAGACAAATAAAATTATTTTTATAAATAAACTTCAAGATCTTATAATTTAAGATGTTCATGAAGAAGTTAATACTATGTGAAATAAAATAATGAATAGAATTAAGAAGTTATAAAAGATGTGCTTGAAGAATCAAAAGGAAAATCTCTTATGAATAAAATGGTTTGTGATAGAATTGCATCCAAATTTAGCTACCCTTGGTTATTTCACGTTTAACCATAAGCCCTTCTGCCCCTCCATGAGTCCTTGCAACCAATGGGACTGCAAAATGCAATGAGAGAAGCAACATATCGTGATCAAAAGGTTGGTTCTTAACAAGGAAATGAACACAGATACTGAGCCAATTTAATGGTACCAAATTCAAGTATATTTAAGGTCCAACAGAAAAGATGGTTCTATTTTGCTTCAAGAAAATATGAATCAATTAGGATTGATTCGCCCTTTTGTCAAAAATTAAAATAAGTTGAGCCCTACAAAAAAATGTATCAAATAGCTGTAAAGTAATCATATAATTTGCCAGCCAGTTTTTATTGGTTGCATGGATGACCTATATGTAGAACAGGCAACCATCGAATCTATCTAACTAAAATATTTAACTTTGAGCAGACTCATGGACATAGAGAAATGATTTACATCAATAAACAACCTACTAGCATCAAGGAAGGTTGAATTGGAAATACAAGAAAAAAAATATAATAAAGAAAAAAAACTGTCCCACAAACATTGGCAATAAATTTTTTATAAAATAGAATCTTTTCACAAGAAAATTGGCAATAAATGATGATACCACGGCTACTTCACCCCTCAGCATGGTGGGAATGCCTTCACAAAGTCCAAGTAGCATCTTGCTCATGCCCAAAACGTACCTATTAGGATACCCCTTGCCTGTAACATAACAACAACAACAACAAAGCCAAAAAAATAAAAAAAAATAAAAAACAAGGTACAGTAACATAACATATGTTTAACAAAGTATCCAAGAAAAAACAGCAAAATAAAATTGGATCATTGCCTGACTATTTGCTGAAAATATAAAATTATGTCCAATTTAATGACATAGCTATCACTTTAGGCTTCATGCAGAAGCTTACATGCCTCTGTGATTAGTATGGCAAGAGAAGAAGAAAAATTTGTCAAAGGTTTTATGTTTCATGATTTGTTAAGAAGAATATGGAAGGAACAAACATCTATTCATTAAAACTAAAAACGCCTTTCTCTTCTCCAATTCTATCATTGATTAAAGCCCAAAGACAATGTAGTCAATATGAACTCTAGTATTAAGAACATCCTCAAAAAAGAGTTATACCATCCAATCTTTACAAGGTTGATAACAAATGTGTTTCTCAAAGAATGCAAATGTGTGAATTCTATACTACAAACTAATTTTTGAACAAAGAACAGAAAAATAAAATGAAGTCCAAGAACAAGACTGATCTTTCACTGCTAACTCTCAGATAAATATTAGTTTCACGATTAGCTGTATAATGAAAAAAAAACTTCACAAAAAGTGCAATATTACATGTTGGAGAGGAGCAGACAGGCATATGCTTTAATTTTGACTATTTTAATTCACAAACTTCAATCAATCTATACTCTAATGTAGATAAATTCATGTTAATAAATTCATTGGTTTTAAATGATCAAACAAAATGAAAACTATATATCAAAAGTTCAATTAAAATCATGATCACTCTGTGACTCTTAGGGCATTAAATGATTGTGAATTCCAAGCTATATGGCACGTTCAAATTGGTAAATTAGTAGTTCCCTTTGATAGCCAAGGCCAACTGATCATGCAAAGGCATATATACCTCCATGTTCTAATCTTGTCGAGTTAACAGTCACTCCATCCAAAGTTCGAATTGTGCAGTGAAATATGACCTGAAAAAGAGTCATCAGGTAAACGTACCAGGTTTCCTTGATAGCACTTACAAGGATCAAACAGAAAATAGCAGATCTAGCAAGCTCTCTGCTCAAATATTGCAGTTTGAATATTTTAAGGGCACCACAGCAAAGAAGTTAAAAATTAAAGGTACAATTTTCATAATACTGTTAATCCAAGAGCTTATAAGGGACATGCCTAAGAATCAGGTATAATACTTTAAAATAAATCCAAAAAGACCATAAAGTCAGTCAAACAATATCATAGCTCCAATAATAACTCAACATAGTAATTAATAATTGGTGCAAATAACATCTAAGAAAATCATACCTGATCTCCTTCTAAAGGTTTTCTTGTGCCCACTCCAGATCTAATCATTGCTTTCATCAAGCTTCCAGGGGTAATATTTTTCTTCCTGAGAAAAAGAATTAAACACAATGAGCCAGTGTTAGAGTTCAATTGGAATAATATTGCCAGGAAAAGTCACCATCATTCAAACCATTTCCTACAATATAAACATGTCTATGAACAATTGCATAGTTAAAATTTGTTTTTTGGCACTATAAACAGCGAAAGAATTAAGAATTTCTATACATTCATCATTAGCAAAAGTTACAATTCATTGGGCCAAGAGCATGAAGGGATGTGACAAATAATCCTAGCAAATATCCCGTGGTCTCCAAAGGCTAACAAATCACTGTTAGGATAACCACAGCACCCACAAACAAGCCATTAAACAAAACATAAAACATTCAATGGAATATCAGCATTGAGAGGGAACAATTTTATTCTTTGTAATGATAATGAGAGAATATATTAAATCATTGTTAAAAAGGAATTATAGTTCTCCAGTAACCAGACAAAAGATCTATAGGCAGAATTCTCCTTCACATCAACACGGCTTAGAATTAAATAAATATCATTATTGATCATATTTTGAAATAGAAATTTCCTATTTCAATCCTCATTGCTCTGAGGCTTGAGAGGCTAATGCAGCTATCAGGGCTGGCTGTGCGCGGTTGATGTGATCAGAGCCAATTACAATCAATAACATCATTATTACCAAAATCAAGTTGTAGCTTTGAAACTCTTTTCCTGAATCCCAATGATTGCTCCTCTACTCTCTTGACGAAGCCACTATCAAAGTTCTCTCTCCGCTTCGATATTTCGAAAACGTACATAGAAACATACAAGACAAAAAAATGACGTCGAACTGTACCTATCGTGCTCAAAGAAATTTCCCTTTGTACAATGCAAGGGTAAGCATATGATAAGAAGCTCAATGGCAATACCTCTTTTCATACTCTTCATCGGATTTCTTCTTCTTCGGGGCGTATTCCTGCTGCTCCGTGTCATCTTCCAAGGCCTGCTGCTTCTACTCAATCCTAGATGGAGAAGAAGATCTAACCTCGGAATCTTAAAGTCGGTGTTATCTGCAGAATGCAAAGTACAAATTATGAAAGAGGTTATCTCGAGATGGGCCACTTAATTCTGCCCTAATTTTCTGCCGGAAGACTATCCATTAGTCTATTCGACCACTAGCAGGTGACGCGGGTTTCTACTCTCTACAGTTTGCAGATGACGTCACCACAACTCCGATACACCGTTTAACACTGGTGCCGCCGATGGGCGTGGCGCGGCGGCAGCGAAGGAACAGCGGAAGATGTTGTGGCAGCAAAGAGACACCGCCTCCGGTATTCTCCTCGAGCGATTTCTCGCCAGCCACCGGCAGGAGAGCCAACGAATTGATGCAAACCAACGCAAAAGCATTGGGTAAGCAAAAATTCCTACTTAGAAATCAAGCATCAATAAAATTTTTTGAATTACTTCATAAAGAATCATGACAATTTGATAATCTAAAGATCCTCAGGATAAGTTGAAATTTTTTGAATTATTGAACCGATAGAGTAAAGAATCCTGACAATCTGATAATCTACATTTTATCATGATAAGCTGACTGGTCGTTTGGGGAACTTATTCAAAACAGCTTATTTGCAGTTGTTTTTAAATAAATGAACATTCTACCTCTGTTAAGTGATGTTGTTTGCAACAGAACTGTATGGGCAAAATAATAAATAAAACATAAGCCTCAAATCATTACAAATCAATTCAAAAAAATAAGATAGAGTCCTCCCTTTCTCGTGAGTATTAAAAAAAATAACATAAAAAGAAATATAATAACAACTACAATTAAAAATATTAAAATATTTAATTTAACTGACAACATCTGTCCTCAACTGAAATGTCCTCCTGAAAAATCATCGTACCTCTTTCACTGTCGGCAGTGGAATATGCCGGAATGTCAGCCCAGCGGAAGAAACCGCATCGTGTTGAAATGTGTTGTAAGGGAGCCGATATTTCGCAGTAACAGAACACAACTCGGGAGGTCCCTGAAACTCTAGAGCTCATGTTGCTACAGAGATAAAAAAAAATAGAGAAATCGTTTGTGATATCAGAAAATTAAATTAACTTTTCTATAGTTACAAGAGAACTGAATTGATCTCTTAAAATCATGAATATGGCATCTGGTGTCTGGATAGGGCTTCATGTAGCTCATCTGCATCGAATATCCAGCATCAACCAAATAATATTTCTCTGTTATGAAAGGTACTTTTAATGATAAAACATATATATAACTAATAGGTTTACAAAAGTAAACATACCTGGAGGCGGATGAGAGAAACACTGCATTTTATTCCTAGTTGCGTAGGCAAAAAGTTAATTGTCATGTGCACTCCCTTCTCATCATGTCATCACAAATGCGAAGCAAATGTTGAAGTTACATTCTGTCCTGACATTTTGGGTAGTTGATCCACTCTGACCAATGTATGTGACCTTTTCGTTGCTGGTTAGTCGGGCATCAACGTGTGTATTGTTGATTGCCCAATGCAGTTCTGCTTAGCATTGTTAGAAAGTTATTATATTCTGAAGTGAAAGTAACTCAATAGTGAAACTTACCTTGAAATATGATATGTAACGAGGATCATTGGTAACTTGTTCTAGAGGGGTAGCGAACGATGGATCCTCTGGCTTAATGATCTGTGACGCTAAGCTAACCTGTGTGTGCAGACCTTTTAAGAAATGTCGACTGATTGCTTTTTGAGGAAAGCTGAAATTGCTCATAGCATCTCTAATTGATTTGGTCTGAGATAGAATGTATAATGTTATGGTCAACACCTCCCTAATTGTGGTTCTAGAAGACCCTTGGAGGTTGTGGTTACGACATAACTCGTGAAGGAGATCCAAAAAATGGGTGCAGTCATGCGAATAATATTGTTGAACCTTATCGGATGTCCTGCAAGCATCTCACCCACCCATTTATCCCTAAAAAATGAGGACGTCATGCAAGGTATTTGAGCAGTGGTGGAGCGATAGTACTCCAAAAACAAAATTGTAATTGTCACAGTCCATGTCATTCTTCTACGGCGCTCTTGTTGTCGATCCATCCTGAAGAAATAGGTAAGTTGTTATGATATAATAAAATGTGGAAAAGTATTCGCACCAATATGAAATGAGAAAAATATCAAGGCCTTCATAACACACTACTTAATTACATATAATTGTTCATGAAAATAGAAAATAAATAAAATAAATACATTGAAAACTAATTGCAAATATAACACTTAAACATGAACATATACAACAGAGTCATTCATCAAACAAAGCACATAAATATTTGACGTGCAGTTTGGGTTGCATGGCCAGGAATAGTTGCCTCTGGTTGGGTCCTCGAGCTTCTTAGCATATTTTGCATGAAAACGCATATCAACCACTACCTCTAGAAGAACATCCAAATCTGCAATACAATCTAGAATGTTGTCATCATGTGGAACAACAGGTGGTGAAGCTTCTAAAACATCAATTAGTTTCTTCATTGTGGTTTTCACAAAAATGTCCTAATCTTTCTTTCTTTTCCCAAGCCTGGACTTTTTGGACTAGGAACTGGACTCCTCAATCTCCTTTTGGTTAGTGTTAGGCACTTCATCGTCAGTTGTAACCTGCTCAGGTGGCAAGACATCTGGTATGCCTACAAATTCCAACTCACTTGGGTTGAATGTGTACTTCTCATTACGACAACTCCCTTAAACATTATGTCTAATTTATCTTCCAACTCTTGCTTAATTTTGCAATGCTTATATTTTTTGATTGTTGGTATTGCCTGTAACGTTGGGGGGTGTTAGATGGCATATTAGTTAAACAAAAAAAAAACATTATAATAAGCCAAAATAGAGTGTAAATATTACTTCTAATTTCTCAACCCACCATTCCTCTAAGAACATCAATGGTTTGCTTAATGGGATCCCAACCAAACTTGGTGGATCCCCGTTTAATCCCTTCCCCTCAATTCCTTGAACCTCTCTGCAATGTTTTGTCATCCTTCCTTGTTGAAATATGTCGTTTGCCTATTTTCGAGATCAATTTCTTTAATACGAAGATTGAAGAAAATGTTTGTTACTTCCTTATCCTACATTGTCGACATACTCGCTTCATTTGTCTTATAAATGTTGTAACTAAATGAAGATATCATAATAAAAAAAAGAAAGGTATCATACATCAACAAGATCTTAGTATACCACTATACAAATATGACCAAATAATTAGAAGTACATACAAAAAAAACTATCAATAATGAAAAAAATAACATAACTAGCATATAAACAAAACCAATTGAATAAGAACTATAGTCTATTCAAAAGCTGTCATACTGAGGTGTCTAGTCTAAGTTTAAATTAACTCTTTTCCGTGAGCCTTATTAATGTATCTACGGATATGAAAAAAAAGCTTCCAAGTACTTTTGCTCAACAAAGAAGAAATTAAATTACATACATGTCAAATAAATCAATTTTCAACCAATATTCCATGTTGAGATAAATAATCATATAATATAGCCTCATCAATTGTATATTGGTTATCCATGGAGGTGTTAGTTTGCACTCTAAAATATATTTTCTTAAGAAGAGACAATTACTCTTCCTTTTTTGTATGTAAACTAATTCAAATCAAAGAAAGTCCCAAAGGCATCAATAATCTTTAGTTATAACACAATTCTATATGAAATGCTCTACATTATATATAATAGTAGGTTTTAATTCAAATTTGTTAGCTTCAACGACATGAGTTTGTTTACTTTGATGAATTTCATCTATCGCGGGTTAGCGTAATTTATGAATGGTTTTGGTACATTCTCATCAATTTGAATTTCTAAATTATTTTGTAAAAGGATTCGCCATTTCTTGAAAATTATGATTATGATTTTGTTTTCTAATCCTTCTAATAGTTTGCTATAACTTAGAACTGTAAGTCAATAAACCTTCAGATCATGCACTTAACATACACTAAAAATAGCAAAATAAATAAAACTCACTAACAAAATTAATAAATATATTTCTTAAATATATATATAAAAACAAAAAAGCACGTATATAAATGACACCACAATAAGTTCTACAATTAAAAGATTTTCCTAAATAAAAAAGGTTTCGTTTTTTCCCTTTGCAACGGCACCAAAAACTTGACCCGACCCGCAGTTATGCAATTATTTGATTTCAAAGATCGGCCAAAAACATTGACCCAATTTATATTTAGCGGTTACTGTGCAAAATAAAATATTATATAAAGATATAAAAAAGAATTTACACACTAGAGGTACTATGCAACTATACATATTGTTTCAAGTAATATAGGATTTTCTATAAAAACCCCAATATCGATCCCACGAGAAAAGCATAAACTCTTAATAAAGTTGAGTTTAATAAAACCTTCTTTGAAATTGTAATAAACTTATAAAAGAAATAATTAAAAGTTTTTGTGAAGTTACTAATCTTATTAAAGTGAAAGGAATGTTAAGTATGCTATGCAGATATAAAATTTGTAAGTGCGGGACAATCTAAAAAGCTTTAAAATGCAAAGTTACAACTACTCTAACTAAAGATGTATGAAGAGTTCAAATTTGTATAAAACATCCTTCCCTTTGAAATGAGTTTATAATTAGTGTAGGAAAATATTTTTAAAGTATAACTAAGGTATTGTGTCAAATAGGAGCAATTATATTCTTTACCCTCGGTTAAGTATATAAAGAACATTGACTAATTCAGAGTTTGGTCCCTAAATTCGTGGTTAGGCTGGGAAAATACTAGCTCTCACTCTAGAGTTCCCACTTCACCTCACCTGAGGGCTAACATCTCGCTTTAGTTTCCAAACATCTGAATCACATTAGGGATTTTAGTCTGTCATCCTAAAATCTCTAATTCTACGCCCATCAAAACATATTTCTCTATTTATTTGCACTTAACCCCATGAACTGCATTCTCATCTATGAGACTAAATGTGATTCTTACTGTGTTAGCCCATAACAATGGGTCACTACG